CCTGTGAAGGCCATAAATGTGGAGACCAGCCGTAAAGTTACGTTTTCCAATACCACTTGTGAATGGTCGCTAAACAAGGCAGTCACTAAACAAGAACTCCTTCTATTTAAAGGACCATCTTCTCTTTCTACAAATGGCCAATTCAATCCACCTGCCAGCAAAATCAGGTTGTCTCTCATTTTTCCCTTTTTTTCACTTCGTCCTTCCCCGATTTTTCCCTTATAAATTCTTTTTTCTCTTTGTGTTTTAGGACTTGCAAACATCCAGCGACCATTCAAAGTTACAACAGCACTGGAAAAAGTGAGTTGTGACCATTTTTCACGCTTACGACCGTTTTTCGCTCTTACAATCCCCATGGTCACATGATCCAGACACATGGCAAGTGGTTCAGACTTACAACGGTCACCATGTCCCAGGGTCAAATGATCCCCTTTTGCGACCTTCTGACAATATCAGGGCTCCGACGATCCACCCCCATTCGAATCATGTGTCTCTCTCTAGCTACATCTCTCAGAGTTTGAAAAAAAGATTTATTAGGAGTGAACATGCCAGCATTACCTGGGTGCAGCTGACTCTGAGACACATCATTCATCTCATCCTTGACCCTAGTCTTCCCCCACCTCCTGGATGTAACTACATAGCCCAAAAGGCATTAATTGTAAACCCAATCCTGCGTAGCTTTTTCTCTGGTAATATCACGCTACTAACTAGAGGATACAAAACATTTGCTAGACCAATACTCGAATACAGCTCATCAGTCTGGAACCCACGTTACGTATCTGATATTAGCACAATTGAGAAAGTCCAGAAATATTTCACAAGAAGAGTTCTCCACTCCTCTACTCGTTGCAGAATACCTTATGCCACCAGACTTGAAATTCTAGACCTAGAAAACCTAGAACTTCGCCGCCTCCGGTCCGATCTAAGTATATAAGTATAGTATATAAAATTATACATTGTAATGTCCTACCTGTCAATGAATACTTCAGCTTCAACCGTAACAATACAAGAGCACACAATAGATACAAACTCAAGGTTAACCGCACCAAACTTGATTGCAGGAATCAGTAACAGAGTGGTCAATGCCTAGAATACTCTACCTGACTCTGTGGTTTCTTCCCCAAACCCCAAAAACTTTAACCTTAGACTGTCTACTATTGATCTCACCCCTTTCCTAAGAGGTCTGTAGGGGGGGCGTGCATAAGCGCACCAACGTGCCTACCGTCCCTGTCCTATTGTTTCTTTTATTTTTCTTATATGTATCCATTTCATATATTCATAACTATGTTTATACTTATAACTGTTATCTTATATTCGCTTGACAAAATAAATAAATAAAATAAATATTCTCCAATGGGACACATCCATAGCCAAGAGTCATCAATCGTGCTCTCCAGTAATAATCTTGTGCGCCAGAAGCTTGGGCCGCCTAGCAATTATCTATGAAAACATTTAAGGCATGCATTACTTCTCCCCCTCTCTTTCTTCTGACAACTCTAAAAGACCAGAAGAATATTTTTGAGTTGATACCAGATTCATTTAACAACTGAGTTACTAACAACTGCAGTGGTTCACTTAGCAACTGTGGCAAAAAAGGTCTTAAAACAGGGCAAAACTCACTTAACAGCTGTCTTGTTTAGCAATGGGAATTTGGGGTTCAGTTGTGGTAAGGTAAGGACTACCTAGATTTTATTCTTCGTTGAATCTCCAGAAAGTCGGGGAAGAAAAAGTAAAAGCAAAGATTGGTCATTAAGTTGCTTTTTGATCACCAGTAGTTGGTCACTAAACGAGGACTACCTGTATGTGATTACCATATCACTTCACATCAAGTCCCCAGAAGACGCTCCACACATGAAAACAACCCAGGTTTCAAAGCCACCCAATAAGAAATTCTGGTCATGCAAAGTCAATACTGAAACCAAGACAAAACTATATCTGATTCTTCCTTTTCAGTCATGGGGTTTCTAAAATTATTTAGAAATATTTTTTCTGTTTTTCCCTCTAACAAACTGTGCTTAAGGCTACAGATAGTCCTCAAGTTACGACCACCATTGACCCCAGCATTTCTGTTGCTGAGAACTTCATTAAATGAGTTTTGCCCCATCGTACGACCGGGTTTTCTTTTGCCAGAGTTGTTAAGTGAATCAATGCCATTGTTAAATGAGTAACCCCGGTTGTTAAGTGAATCTGGCTTCCCCTGTCGTCTTTGCTTGTCAGAAGGTTGCAAAAGGGGATCGCATAACCCCCCGGGACATAGTAACGGTCATAAGTATGAACCAGTTGCCAAGCATTTGAATTTTGATCACCCGATCATGGGGAGGCTCAAAGGTCATGTGAAAATTGGTCCTAAATCCTTTTTATTCCAGCGCTGTTGTAACTTTGAACGGTCACTAAATGAACTATTGTAAGTCAAGGATTACCTATATTCCATTTTCTGTTTTAAAGAGCCCCTAAGAAGCTAAGGCTTTGGCCGGGACAAGAATACTCAGCATGAATACTCATCTTTTGCTTCTTTTCAAATTTTACATCCAGCGTTTTTAACGCTCAGAACGATGCCATAGAGCCCTGCACACCAGAACAACTAGACACAAGGACAGTGTTTTCCCAAATGCCATCACTCTGCTAAACAAATAATTCCCTCAACACTGTCCAACTATTTACAACGTCTGCATTACTATTACTATTAATCTTCTCATCACTCCTTATCACCCATCCCCTCCCACTTGTGACTGTAGGACAGTGACTTTGTCGCTTGTATCCTAACAGTTTTTATTGGCTTTCCTAGTATGATTTGATTGCTTATTGTACCCTATGACTATCATTAAGTGTTGTACCTGATCATTGACTCTTGACAAATGTATTTCTTTTATGTACACTGAGAGTTATTTGCACCAAGACAAATTCCTTGTGTGCCCAATCACACTTGGCCAATAAAGAATTCTATCCTATCCTACCCTATCCTGTCCTATCCTATTCCTATTCTGCATTCTATTCTACATTCTATTCTGCATTCTATTCTATTCTATTCTATTCTATTCTATTCTATTCTATTCTATTCTATTCTATTCTATCCTGTCCTGTCCTGTCCTGTCCTGTCCTATTCCTATTCTATTCTATTTTCTATTCTATTCTCTATCCCGTTCCATCCCCATCCCATTCTATTTAAATTCTATTCCTATATCCTTCTATTCTATTGTACCCTATGACTATTATTAAGTGCTGTACCTGATCATACTTGACTCTTGACAAATGTATCTTTTCTTTTTATGTACACCAAGATCATTTGCACCAAGACAAATTCCTTGTGTGTCCAATCACACTTGGCCAATAAAAAGAATTCTTTCTTCTATCTTAAGTTTCAATATTTTAATTTTTCTACCACCCTGCAAGGGGGAACGGTCTGTTTCTAAATTTGATCAGCATCATAAAATAAAAACAACGGAGGATTTGAATTCACTTGGGTTCAAGTGAAAGGATCTTTCTCGCAGACCTTTTCAAAGTCAGCATCCGATCACTCCTTCCGCCTTGCCACCCTGAGAAGCCACCAAGAAAGCGGAGGACAAAGATTGAGTAAAACTCAAACTCGCCCCTTTCCCGAAGACCCAACAGCTGTCGACCAAACGGCTTCTTCTTCGCCACGCGTTCCCAACCCTCCTTGGCATCCCAGCTGCCAGCTTGCCAGTTCCTCTTCCAAAATACGGCACCCGGAGCAGGATGAAGAAAAACACCCCATCTCTTTTTAGCCCACAAGCTGCCCACAAGCTGCCCACAAGGCCACATGCCAGGCGAACTGAGCAACACCCATGTGATGCCTGATACATGTTGCTAAACACGCCGGAGTCCCAAAGCCAAAACAAAACAGAACACGACCCCTTTTAAAGATACGCCAAGAGAATGCAGGAAGCCTTTTTAAAATACTTGAACAGAGTCTTGCTAAAGAGGACCAAAAAAAACCACCAATACCCTAGCAGCATAAGCTCTCAGTGAGGTGCTAATTTACTACATGCAGGCAGGAAAGCTGCCAAAATAGACCTCCAATCTCAGCTTTCCTTTCTTTTATTACTTTATACAGGTAGCCCTCGACGTACAACAGTTCATTTAGTGACTGTTCAAGGCGACTTGCGACTGTTTTTCACACTTACGACCGTCGTCACATTCCCATGGTCACATGGTCACTTAACAGCTGTGGCAAGGTAGGTCGTAAAATGGGGCAAGATTCACTTAACCAATGTCCCACTTAGCAACAAAAAATTTGGGCTTAACTGTGGTCGTAAGTCGAGGATTTCCTATCTATCTATCTATCTATCTATCTATCTATCTATCTATCTATCTATCTATCTATCTATCTCTATCTACCTACTTACCATACCTACCTCCCTATCACCTGTCTGTCTGTGTCTGTCTGTCTGTCTGTCTGTCTGTCTGTCTGTCTGTCTGTCTATCCATCTATCTATCCATCCATCCATCCAAGCTTTAAAAAAACCGTTGTGTTGGATCTCCACTTTGCAAAACGCTAAAAATGGGGACGTCGAAAGCGACTCTTCTCAAGCTTAGCTATTTTAAGCTGGATGGACTTCAACTCCCAGGATCCCCCCCCCTCCCCAACAAGCCAGCTGCGCTATGAATTCTGGGAACGGAAGTCCACCCAGCTTAAAGTTGCTGAAATGGAGAAAAGTTTGCTTTAAAGGCTCCCAATCCATTACTTAACCGTAAGCTTCTAAACAGCACCGGGGACAAATCTCCCTTATCCCCCAATAGATGGGTTGGTTGGGACTCCCTTCACCCTCCGTTGGTGCTATGCTGGTAGTGGATGATGGGATTGAATTCCGGCCCAGTAAAGGAACGTGATAACATTGGGTCCAGTGAATGCTTCTCGTAGCCTTTCTGTCCTGTCCCCACCACCGTAAATTCTGGGAGGAAAATGAATGTTTCTTCCCACTGTTTTTTCCCTCCACTAATCCTGGGAGGGGATCCCCAGAGGGCAGGCATCCGGTACTTACCCAGGGTGAATTCCCATTGTTCATTCCCAAGAGATCGTTCGGGAAGCACTTCTAAATCTAGCATTGGTTTAAGCAGAATGGCCCGGGTACCCTTGGCTGGTCCCCGATGCGAACCGTAGTTTGTCCTGAGAAGAGGGAGAGAAAGGTTGGGGTTATCCTCTCTTCTCACGTTCAGGTCTCGCCCCAAAGCCAGGGGATGCTCTCCCCACCACCACTTGGAGAGGGCCCCTTCACACACACACACACACACACACACACCAAATTCCCATTTCTGTCCTGGGAATCCCATGGCCCCTTTCTTCACACCCCCTTAAGATCCCTATTGAAAAGAGCGGGAGGAAATCCCCAAACACTTTCAAGAGGCGGTATCTTGCAGCAGGCAGGCGAATCCCATAATATTCCTCTCCTTCCCAGATATTCAAACACAGGGATGGCGTTCACAAGTGACAGGCAGATCATCTGGGTTTGTTTGTTTTTTTCCCTCTTCCTCCCCCCCCACCCCCCTCGCTTTTGTCCCTCCGCCAGGAGTCAAAGTGAGTCTAATCGATTCATCGCCTGCCTGCCAAAGTTTGGGATGATCTTGTTCCCAGTCCTGGACATGCCCTGAAACCAGAGAGGGGTTTCCCCAAGAGGCCAAAAATCCCCAAACCTCACCAATGGGCCTAAAATGCTTGGCGGTGACGTTCGCACAACCGCCCGCTGGTCGTGTGAACCCACAAGTCCACAAGCCTTGTGCAAAGGCAGAGAAAGGGGCAGATTCCACACCCCCTGGGGATGTTCAGGGCGAAGAGGTGCGACTGGCCGTCTTCTAAAAGTTATGCAACCCCCTCCCCCGCCCCTCAAAAAAGACAGCGTTGGAATACAGGTCCCAGCAGCCTGGCAGAGAGAGAGAGAGAAAGAGAGGGGCAGAGAGATAAAGGGAGAGGGAGAAAGAGAGGGGCAGAGAGAGAGAGGGAGGAGGGAGAGAAAGAGAGAGAGAGAGAGAGATAAAGGGAGAGAGAGAAAGAGAGGGGCAGAGAGATAAAGGGAGAGGGAGGAGGGAGAGAAAGAGAGAGATAAAGGGAGAGGGAGAAAGAGAGGGGCAGAGAGAGAGAGGGAGAGAGAGAGAAAGGGGAGAGAGAGATAGAGGGAGAAAGAGAGGGGCAGAGAGAGAAAGAGAGGGAGAGAGAGAAAGGGGAGAGGGAGGAGGGAGAGAAAGAAAGGGGAGAGAAAGAGAGAGAGAAAGAGAGAGAAAGAGAGAGGGAGAGAGAGATAAAGGGAGAGGGAGAAAGAGTGGCAGAGAGAGAAAGAGAGGGAGAGAGAGAAAGGGGAGAGGGAGGAGGGAGACAGAAAAGGGAGAGAGAGGGAGGGAGAGCTAAAGGGAGAGGGAGAAAGAGGGAGAGAGAGAGAAAGAGGGGGAGAGAAAGAAAGGGGAGAGAGAGAGGGAGGGCGAGGGAGAGAGGGATAAAAGGAAAGGGAGAAAGGGGGGAGGGGAGGGGGGGAGAGAGAAAGAGAGAAGGGAGGGGGAGAAGAGGGGGCGGGGAATGGGAGGCCCCCACACCGGGGGGACCCCCCTTCCCCCCCCCCCCCCCCCCGAGAAGGAGGGGGATGCTCTCTGTGGGGGTCAATCCCCTCCTGGACTCATTAGCAGGGACAATAGCCCCCCCTCCCCTCCTCTCGCCCCCACAGTGGCCCAGGAAGGGCAACCCACTCCTTGGTTTATGTCAGCAGGGGCTGCTTCACCCCCGGGACCCCCGCCCCCAAAAGAGGGGCCTGCATAAGACATGGGGAGGGGGCTGCCTTTGGATCCGGAAAGACCCCTCCTCCCCCCCAAGCCCCGCTCCTCCGCCTAGCCTTTCCTCCCCCCCCTCCTCCCAGCTGGTTTCCCCCAACCAGGCGCCCTCGGGAGGCTCGGGGGCGGCTGGGAACGATGGAGGGTGCAGTGTGGGACGGGGACGGGGTCCTCCCCCTCCCTCCCTCCCCTTCCGGAGCCCCCCCCGCCCCATAGGCGCTCTTTCTTGGGGGGGGCGCTCCTCCTTGTAGCTCTGCAAAGGCGCCTTGGGGA